GGGGTGAAGGGTAATCTTGTCATTTCACCATCATGGAATCATCACAAACTTCTTTGAATCTTCAAACATTCTTCTGCTGCAATCCAAGAATCTTCTTTGTTTCTTCATCTTCTTCAATTCCATCTGCTTTCATATCATCCAAAACCTTGCTCACTTCTTTACCACCATTGATGTAAGCTTTCATCAAGCAATGATACATCTTTCTATCAAATGCCACAAATTTCTTCAATTTTAGCACAAAAGATTCGACCTTTTTGACGCTTTCTTTCTCACCGATGCCATCTAACAACTTCTCGACAACTTTTGAATCCATTTTCCAATCTTTCTTCTCCAACGGCAAAGAAACCGCAGATTCCATACAATTTCTCGCTTTCTCGATCTCACCTTTCTTCAAAAACTCGATCGCCACTCTCCCCCAACTATCGGCCGTTGTCGTCTTTCCTTCTTTCAACAAGTTATCGAGCAAATCCTTCGCTTTATCGCACGAACCGTTCTCGAGATACCCGTCAACGATAATCAACGGGACCCGGAAATCATAAACGTTTCCCGAGGAGCCCCACTCGAGCAGAAGCTTTTCGGCTTCTTCAAACTCACCAAGTCTTACCAAAGATGTTACCATTGTGATATATTCTCTGTTAATCTGCCTCTTGCACGTGGACTTCAAACGGCCCCACAATCTAAGAACGTCGTCTTTGTTTCCCAGCCGTGCGCATATCGAGATCAGATGGTTGTACCCGAGAGCGTCTTTTTCGAGACGGTTTTCGGCTTTCTTTAAGGCGTTTTTCGCCTTATCTATAAGGTTTCCTTTAATATAACTGTTTGCCACAGCTGTGTATGTGTTCCAATCCATGGTGATATTTGGATCTTTCTCCATTTCTGTCAAAATCTTTTCCATGCCCTCGATGTCGGTATTGTCTCCATACGAATTGATACACATTCTGTAGGTTAAGTTGTCGGGAGAGACTCCGTTCTTTTTCATGTCGTCTAAGACGTCATGAACCTTGTTGGTTTGGTTGGTGCGTATATGAAGGCACATGATGTCGTTAAATGCAACAGGTGATAAACCGAAGCCTTTTTCCTTCATTTTTTGAAAGTGGGAGAGGGATTTCTCGGTTTCACGCTGGCGGACGTAACAATGGAGAAGGGCACCGTATGTTTTATCGGTTTTATCTTGTTCGGTTAGGGAATTGAAGTATTTTTCGGCCTCGAGGAAGCCATGGACCTTACCGATAAGGTCCAACTGCACTGCATGGTCTACTGGTGTAAATGCACAAACGCCATTCTTGTTCATCCACTCTGAAACCTGCAAAATGTATGCAATATGAGGCAGCATTTGAAACCAATTGTCTGCAAACTATATCTGTTGGATGTCTTAAATGTCCTCTCATAATGACAAAACAAAGAGATTTTGTGAATCATAATCAGTAGCACCAGAGATTTGTAACAATAACAAGGACCAAATAATCTACTTTATCTTGAAATTTTGCCTAAAAAGCAAAATGTTGCAGTTTCTTGGGACATCAAACCAAACGTATGCAGTATATCCCACTCGAAAGTAGAGTCTGGGTGGGGTAGGATGCACGCAGCTCTTTCCTCTACCTCAGGGTAGAGAGGCTGTTTCCGTGACAAGTTCTTGGGACATCCCATAATGGAAATTGTAGTGATTTCCATGGGGTGGAGAGTATACTTGATAACATAATTGATCTACTTACCTACAAACCAAACCAAACAACCTTGTGAATCCCACACAGAGTAGCAGAGTAGGAACCCAGAAGGGTAGGATGTATGTAGACCTTACCTCTACTTAAATGTCTCACATGAAGAACAATTACGATCATTGAAAAGACTTAGCATACAACATCCCATCCTCCACTAATCACCCGTAAAAAGGCAATTTTTAATGCATCAAAAAAATCTAATTGGATTTGTGAGTATTGGCAAGAGAAGTCGTGTACGTAGTCTTTCACTAGTATTTTGCATAGAGTGTTCTACTCTTTAAGGCAGAGGTCGGGTCTACGTATATCTCACCCCCCAACAAGTGGATTTACTGGGTCAATTTAGTTTGGTTTTTTTAGTGTTTCACAGATTCAACTAATGACGTTCCAATCATAGTGATGATAACCTTACCCGTTTTGGCTTGCCATATGAATTAACAAGTCATTTTATTTTGTAATGAGATGGCTATGAGCTAACAATATACTCTTCATATGTAAAACCTATAATGAATCAGACGACTATGAGTTGTTTGGGTTTTTTGAGCAAATTCAACCAACCCAACCCAAACAATCTTTGTTGAATCCCAATTAATGACCAACCCAACCAAAACATGTAATGTGCAAACTCTAATCGAACCCAATTTATGGTTATTTGGATTGAAGACTCAATCCAATGTCCATCCCAATTTAGGATACTATTCAGTATGAACTCCATGGAAATCCAGCTCTATGCTCACCTCATTCATCATAGGAGCATGTAGTAGAAATCCTTATCATCGCAAAATTTACACAATCTAACAAATTTAAACCGATTTGACACACATAAACAACATTCATATAATGTAAACGATGATGTTTACACAATTTATGCACATCATAATCCCAATTAGACATACAAGAACCCTAATTTAACAAGATTTTAATCTCTATATAAGGATAGTCTATGAAGTTTCAGGGTTCACCTAATCATTAATGTCAAAAGGCCTCATCAACCTAAAAGGTACTCAACTTAATGATTAACATATCTGCATCTGCTTCCATAAAATCAAAACGTATGTGAATGGATCACTAGAAATGAAATATAAAATGCTAACCTCCAAAGCATGATGGAACCGTCTACGCTTGCGTAGATCATGAATAATTTGCTTCAGCTCAGAGTGTCGCACCTTCTTTCCTTTTCTGATCCAATCATCTAGCTCCGGTGTCATCGCCAAACTAGGGTTTCCGAGCGGGCTTATTCTCGAGTACAATGACGCCTTCTTAATCTTCTTGCTACTGTCGTTACTTTCACTCTGAGTAATCGTAGCAGTAGAGTATGATCGGTTTCCAGTTAGGGTTCTTACACTTTGCAGTTTCCTCAATCGAACCGCCATTGCCAACATCTTGAAATCCTTCAAATTAGGGATGATTTGGTTGATTGTTTAACTAGGGTTTTTGAGTGCAGGGATGAACTGCGGAAAAAGGGTTTTGCAAATGCAATAATGACTTGTACTCTGTGCATTATAAGCAGTACTTAAGTTATGTAAACTTTATGCTTCACATTTTGGGCTTTCTCTTAGATATGGGCCTTTGAAGCATAAGCCCAAATTAAGAAGCCTCAAACTCAATCTTTTGAGTAAATTACAGTTTTGGTCTCTATGGTTATGTCAATAATTATGATTTTGGTTCCCGAACTTCATTTTTTTATTAACCTGGATATCTAATCCGTTATATGAGCCGACATCCCAGAGTAACTATGTGTTTTGCAGATAACCCGAAGTCATCTCATTTGAACCTCCATGATAATAAAAGGATTTTTATTCCTCCTTAACTTCATTTTATTATGAGTAAATTATGTGTTTCATTCCGAACAGGCTAATTCTCGAGTACAATGACACATTCTTCATCTTCTTGTTACTATCGTTACTTTAACAATGACTGTTTATTGGTTGAAGTGTAATGGATTTAGTGGATCCGGTCCGATTGATTTTTTTTTCCGATCCAATCCAATTAACATTAGACAGTCTTATCGGATTTCGATCCAATCCGGTCTAATGAGTAATTGAATTAGATGGGTTCCCCCCATTTGATATCACCATTGATTATCCTTAGATTATGTATGTGATACATCCGGTCTTTTGATACATTTTCAACCAAATTTTGTTGGTAGACGATGAAGCTATCTCGGTTAACTTTACGCATACAAGGTGTTTGTCGAAATGCTTCAAAGAACCTCTTTAGCTCCTCCTCCTCCTCCTTGTCGTCGTCGTCTTTGTCAAGCAAATTACTCACCTCGCAGACACCATCATCGGAGGTTACTGAAAGAAAGAAAGAAAATTTATCACGTAGATCACCAACATTTCCGACCAAAAACGAACCCAATTCATCACTATACAGAAGAATCTCACCGGTGGGTGATCCCGACATTTCGATTATACCAGTTCTTGATCAATGGGTCAGCGAAGGAAGGGAAGTTGATAAAGAATCTCTCATTAACATCATTGCTTCCTTGAAGAAGTACAAAAGATTCAAGCATGCCCTTGAGGTTCTGATTCTAATCCCAATGTTGCACTTCTTCTGCAGTTTTGATACTGATTATAAATTATCTGTTCATGGGTTTAACTAGGGGTTTTTTGTGGGATTTGTTGATATATTATTAGGAATTGTATTGCATTTGAGGAATGAAGGGTATTTCATTTGATTGTTTAGCTTTTTCTTAGCTATGCGGATCTGGACCAGCTTGGCCGCACCTTGACTAATCTCATGTGCCTTTGAAGATAATTGTCAGTAAAATTGAAAACTCGAACCGGCTACCTATGGGAAGGTGCCCAAGGCCTGACCTTTATTTGCCAATCGAGCTATTTGTTTGGGTTTTTAGAAATAACCTTCAGGGTTGATGCAAAATCTGCATACATCCTACCCCTGCCTTTGCATGGGATTTACATGTTTGTGAGTTGTGACTGCAGCCAAAGAATGCTTCATACTGATTTGTGAGTTTGGGTTAGGTTTGGGTGTAGTTGGCATTGCCTCTAATTTTGGAAGTTCATTCTTGGTGATTATCCCCTGGACTGTCCTTGTTCTTTCTACTTGTTTGCTCACGCACTCTTCACGGGAACAACCGCTCTCCCTTTTGAGGTAGAGATCAAGTCTGCATACATCTTGGCCCCGACCCTACTTTCGAGAGGGATTTACTGGATTATTTTGGTGTGGTTTGGTCTATTTATCTGCCAGTGTCGTTGTTCCTTCTATGTGTATGCTGACACTTTTTTCATAAATAAACGCTTAGCCTTTTGAGGTAGAGGTCAGGTTTGCATACCTCTTACCAAGACCCTATTTTCTAGTGGGGTTTAGCGAGTCATTTTGGTGTTGTTTGGTTTATCACCCAGACCCTACCTCCGTTTAGTAATGTACTAGGTTTGTTTGATTTGGTTTATTCCTGGTGATTTTAGCCGAAGGTAGATGTCGCATCTCCGAATGCTCGCTTTCATTTTTCCGAGACATTAGATAGTAGCCTGCCCATCAAACACATATGTCATTATACTCTTGGATCCAAACACACATTAAATGATGTCTTGCTCAACCACATATTGTCTTCTTCTTGACTGCTTCTAGAAGTCCGGTTTTTGCCATTGGTTTCACCGCACAATGCTAGATCCAAACTCAACACGATTTATGCACAAAACCCCTCAAAATGCAATATCAAACTAGGCCTTAATTTATACAGATGTACATTTGAGTCTCAATATTTGGCCAACAGCCTTTTTCAGAATTACATACCCGAAATATGCTTAATGATATTGACCTCTTTGGTGTATGCCTGCAATTTTGAACTATACAGATTGGATATTCTTTATGCAATGAACTTTTTCGGTTAAATTGGATTAGCTTTGTGTTGGCATACTGTGAGCGAGGTTCAGGGGAAAACCCCCAAAAAATGAAAAACTGAAGAACACTCTTGTAACCATTCATTTGGATGGTATGTATATGTGCATGCAAGTACTTGAAGTTGTTTCTTGGTTTTTATGCATACCGGACAAAGTGCTTACGAGTTACTTACTTGTATATACATGTGCATACCGACGAGAAGAAGGGTTACCAGGGTGTTCCTCAGTTTTTCATTTTTCTGCGGTTTTCCCCTGAACCATGAGATTAGGCTCGGGGGGATATAGCTCAGTTGGTAGAGCTCCGCTCTTGCAATTGGGTCGTTGCGATTATGGGTTCCTGATCTGACATACTTTATATGTATATATATAACCAAAGGGATGAATCTATATCGGCTTTATAGGACGCCAAATATGTCTAAATATCATAATAAACCATTCTACAGATTTTGAGTTTAATGGACCAAACAATTGGGTGTCTCTTGAGTTAGAATAGGATGTTAGAACGTTTTGGGGCATCTTAACAAGTTTTTTAGGATAATTTTGAAATAAAGTGTCACATTAGCTTTTTTAAAGGATATTTTTGAGAAGTGTCCTATGAACACATATATTTATATTACATTTTTAAATAATGTCATATAAAAATAGATTAATAGGTCGTTTTATTTTAAAGTTTCCTAAAAAACTTGCGAGGACACCCAAAGAACTTACTGTAACACCTTTAGATAAGACGCACAACTGTTTGGTTCTCAAGTCAAGTAAAACACTTTGTTAGGACATTTAGGGCCCGCTTGTTAGCAGCTTAATGGGACTCACAGCTTATTCGGTCAGCTATACATGACTGTTTGGTAGTGACTTGATGATATAGAAAGTGGCTTATTCAATTAGCTTTTATGAGGGGAGCTTTATGTAGAAAGACAAGTTTTTTCCCAAACCTGTCCCTTCCAATTAAATATCACGCTCCTTCTATATATGAAAAAACCCTCTCTAAAAAACCTTTTGCAATCTATAGGACAGATTAATCCACACAGACAGCTTTATCCATACAGGACTTAATGGAAAGCCAACCAAACAGCCCCTTAGGTATTTGGCATCCTATAAAGCCTATTTTGTTGTAGTATACAGTGTTTAAATTACAATGCTCAATCTCATTATGATTCTTCCGCAGATATCCGAGTGGATGACCAACAAACGATACATACCTCCTATGAAAGACGACATTAAGAGCAGGCTGCCGTTGATTTACAAAGTTCACGGTTTAGAGAAAGCCGAGGAATTCTACAACAACATCTCGCAGATATTCAAAGGCTATGAGGTCGATACCACCCTTCTTTATATCTATTCCCTTGAAAAATCCGTAGATAAAGCCGAGGCCGTGATGCAGAAGTTACGAAAGACGGGATGTCCCATGACTGCTTTTCCATACAATATCTTGTTGAATCTTTATTACCATATCAGAGATTGGGCGAAAATGGATGCGTTGACTAAAGAAATGGCAAAGAATGGGATATATGGAGACCGACACTCGTTTACCCCACTGTTAAACGCTTATGCCGCTAATTCAGATATCGAAGGGTTAAATAGGACCATGGCCATAATGGAAGCCGACCCGCGAGTCTGTATGGATTGTAAAACGTATATTTTTGCAGCAAACGCGTTTTTGAAAACCGGGTTGGTTGAAAAATGTTTGAAATTGATGAAAGATGCCGAAATGGCGATCACTGTTAAGGATAGATACAAGAGTTTGAATACTTTGCTCAGAATGTATACCGATTTAGGAAAGAAAGATGAAGTTTATCGAATCTGGAAGCGTTTAGCAGAGAAGAAGATATACAATACGGGCTACCGGAGGATGATCAACTCGTTATTGCGGTTTGATGACGTTGAAGGAGCCGAGAGAGTTTTCGAAGAATGGGAAACGAAAGGTTTGTCTTATGATTTCGTAATACTGGATGAACTCATTGATGTTTATGTTAAAACAGGCAATTTGGGGAAGGCGGAAATTCTTTTAAAACATGGGATTGAAAAAGGGGGTAATCCGACATTTCGTACGTGGTATTGTTTAACAATCGGGTATATTGAAGATAATCAGGTCGTGAAAGGGTTCGAAGCGTTGAAGAATGCAACGTTTTCTTGTCGATTTTTGCCGTTTCAGGAACCCGTGAAGGATAAACTAGCGATCGTTTTGGAGTGTTTGGAAAGCCGAAGAAATATGGAAGAAGTAGCCGGATTTATGAAGTCGCTTGAGGCCGAAGGCATATTTTCATCGACCGTATGTGGGAGACTGCTCGATTTCATCGTGAATGAAACTTCGAAATCTTAAAAACCGGACCGAATTGCACCAATTATTCGGGTTGATCAGGTAATTCCTTGTGGTTGCTATGAACATATGTTGGTTTATTAGGTTCAACATCAAGTCTTTTCACACATTTTTTTGAAGTAGTTCACGGAAATAACCGTTCTATTTTAGAGGACAGATATGACAGAGAACCAGTCTGGGTATAACCGACCCTTGACCCCTAGAGGCTAGAGATTAGTGATGGCCAAAACTTGGTCCCAGGCCGGTCCTAATCGGTCCCAGCCTTTACAAATCCAGCCATAACCGGTCCTGGACCCGGTTGAAAATGGTAAGACCGGTCCTGGTCATTAAAAAATAATTTTTTAATGATATATATTTTTAATACATTATAAAATTTGTAATTGGGTCACTCAAAATACACTTTAAAAGTGCGTTTTATTATAATTAAAAATACATTATAAAATTATTTGAAAATACACTTATTCATCAATCATCATCGGTCTCTCATGTCGGATTGATTTGAAGAATTCCGGTGTCTTCAATTCTTCTAATAGCCTCTTGGTCGTCAAGGTCAAGTTCTTCATCGTCATATTGTGAGTAAGAGCCGTCAGTATCGGTAGTTGGCGTTCATTTTCTTTCAAATTTTTTTGCACCGCTTCAATCTCCATCTCTATCGATGAACGTATAACAAGAATTCTTGGAATTCCTTGGGCATTCTTGATTGGTGCTCCAATGGAATTCATAGGTATAGGAGATTTCAAGAAATGGCAGATTTATTCACTGTATCAATCGTGTATTGGATTTTATCAACGCTATCCAAATAATCCTTCAAACAGATGCACAAAGCCTGATATTCCAACCTTGTTTTCAGAATGGCAAAAAAGCCCAGGCTTTTTCGGGCTCGGGCCGGATATTAGGGTTGAAAGAGGACTTAATTAGGCTTTTCAGGGCCGATTTTCTGGGATTTTTTAGGTCAGGTTTTAACTAGCCATTGGAAATTTTTTGGCTTGGCCAGACCAAGGAGCTTATTGGTACCGGGCTTTTTGGCCCGACGTGAGCCATTTGTGCATCTCTAACCCCACTCTTAGGTGGGATGTACTTGACTCGTTTGGTTTGGTTTGGTTATTAGCTATTGATTGCCTACGCCTTTGATTGAGGTTTGCGGTCCTATCATTTTGACCCGAGTCGAGCATGAGCTTGACTCATTTGATAACTAAACGAGTCTTCTTGATGCAAGCTCGAGAAAGATTTAGGAGCTCGAATAGCTTGAAAATACCTATCAAAACTGTATTCAATAAAACAAGGCGAGGTCGAGCTCAACCACCAAAAAGTTATCAACACATAACAAGGCTCGAAAAAAGCGTAATAATTACATAGTTTTAAAACTGTATCTTTTTCATTCCGAACATTTATTTTTGGACCACGGGAATATAAGTTTTTAGTTTGACCGAAAAAATAAAATTGTCTTTAGAAAATTGAGAATGTAACAAATAAAGTCTTGATTTTGATGTGTGTGAGGAAGAAATTAATAAGCAGAGGTGTATTTAACAATATATAAGGGTGCATTTGGTCTACATCTAACAGTTGTTTTTTTAATTAACCTGGATAGCCAACCCGCTATGTGAGCCGACTAATCCCATGACGACCACCTGCTTTGCGGGTAGCCCGGAGTCACCGCATTTGAACCTCCATGGCCACAAGAGGATTTTTATTTCTCCTTGGATTTGAACTTGGGACCTCCCGACACTTTTGACCTTTGGAACTCAAGCTCAAACCAATCAGACACCACCCTTGTAGTTATCTAACAGTTTTTTGTCCTTTAGTTTATAATGATTTATGAATCAGACAAACTTTTTTGATATTTGCATATGGGTATTTACATTTTTAGCCCCATTCTTTATTACACGTACTTGATGCATTTGTACAATTGTATTTTGAATAGACTGAAATAAAGCGTTTAAAGGTACTGAAAAACTGATAAACTATGTGGATGCATGTCGATCTGTGTCAAGTCAAGTGATTGAATCGTACCTATGATATGTTAAATATCGTAAATCCATCACACACTTGTGTACTTGTCGACTTGTCGGCAAGTTGCTACAAGCACGTCAATAAACAAGTAACAAAAGCTTCACCATTTGGATGCGGTTTTCTAAGAAAACACTGCATTTGGAGGATAAAATTTTGTATCGACTTTCTGTTGCAAATAAACTATCATTCTTATGAACAGAAGAATCTACAAGAGTTACTGATTTTGGATAAGGAGGAGGAATACAATGTTTTTTTTACATTGTTGTCAAGGTACGTTCATTTTTGCAAACTACAGTGTCTTGTATTTCATGTAAGAATGACGGCTAATTTACAATTAAAAACTTGATGATTTTACGTATAAATACGACTTATTTATGTGAACCATCGCCACCCCGTAGATAATCTCTCCACTCGATCTTACCCCCTTAAACCCCACCCCTCCACCACCACAAAGAAATCCAACACAAATTGCCTATATGAGGCTTCCATTGTAATAAATATATAGTTAAAGGACCAAATCCATACTAATATATATATATATATATATATACACACACACATATTACATAGAGAAAGGAGAGTTGGATTCATGTGAGACCAACCTGTTTTCATGAGAATCTTGAGACCACAAAATAATACTGAGACTTCACAACAATTCATTGTGAAGGTATAAAAAACAACGAACATTCATAGCAAAAACTTTTACCTTCATAAACCTTCACAGCAAAAACTTTTACCTTCATAAACCTTCACACCGTGTTTGCTGTAAAGATTCAGTGTTGTTTAAGTGGTCTCACGAAAACAATCTGGTCTCACATAATCCCAAGTCTCTCTCTCTTTATACACACACACACACACACACACACACACATATATATATATATATATATATATATATCTATACTATATTATAAAACATTTGACAAAAACTCTTAAAAACCACTTTTTATGCGTAAAATACTCTTTGTTAATGCATGTTACTTAAAACTCAAGATTGCATGTAGATTGTTCGCAAGTACAACTTATTAAAGCTTTATGTCTAAATTTGTGTAACTAACTGCAGATAAACATAATCAAATACAGGATAAACATCTCATTTTAAATATAAAAAATCTAAAATATAATTAGGATAATCATTGAATTCTAACAGAATACTTAATTATTATCTTT